AATAGCTCTATGTTAGTCCAAGCATACTATTAGATTACATTTGTAACTAACCACCATCCTTGAGTATTTAAAAAGATTTAGAGAAAATGTTACTGTGTAATAACTGACCTGGTATAATCTTTAACCAGAGAGCTTTGATATTATAGTATTTATATTCTTAAGCCTACATACATTATACATACAGTCTAGCCAAGTACATTGTCTTTACAGTTATTTCACTAGCTTAGTAGCTCTATGTTAGACCATGCCTACTTGTGATTAATTGCCAATTACTTTGTATATTTTATAGTGAAAGTTGACGGCAATGTAAATTAGTTTAAAGAAACACTATATTACATACATTAGATACACAGTAAAAATGTTATATTCACTATATCTTAATATTATAATATGTTATACAAATAAATCTAACAATCGGAACATATCTGCAATCATGCTTGCTTGCATAAAATATGTGAACTACCACTAGATTTTGATGTAAAAGCATTTCAATTTGAAGCTTCAATTACCAAAAACATAAAAAGTATTTACAGAACAAACAGTTCCCACATTAGATACTTTATGTATATATTATTACTATTTCTTTATGATTACTGTATCAACACGTCTTATATATAGATATATATAAATGCTAGAAGTGTTTTTGTGAAATAATTTTTCAAAAAGACCAAAAAACATCCTTCAGTCACAGACTATTTATTGTCACTTGATTGCCTAAAAACCTCGTATATATAATTTATGAAATAAAGTTTTATGTCGATAAAACTACAAACTTTGTCTGTCTTTGTCCTAATGATGCCATATATAATTAAAGTTGTTTGTACATCAACAGATAGAGCATATAATGAAAGTAACTGTTGAAATATATGAAAGACATATATAAAACTTGAATTTTATTTTTACATTATTGATTATGGAGTTCCATTTAATAATTAATAATGTTTTGTCTTGTTTGTTTCTTTTAGTTAATTTACATTGCAGTCAACTTTCACTATAAAACATACAGAGTAATTGGCAATTAATCACAAATAAATGATGCAACTACTAGTTTTATACTGTTTTAGGTTGAATAATATTTTGTCAAATTAATTTTTCTGAAAAAATCAATAAATACCTAATACTTAAAGTATTTTTTATTAACTCAAGCAATATCATTTGTATGTGTTCATAAAATAACACAAATAATCCTGTGTGTAATAAAATGTGTCACCCATATATTTCATACTGATTTGCCACTTTGCTGTAATACTCAATAACCCTAAACGCGTTTACCTGATGTGATGATGTGGAAAAGTATCCAAAAATATTTCTGCTATTTTCAAATGGGCAATGTCATAAAAATACACTCAGTGTCTCCCCTTTATAAACAACTGTAGCTGAAGAGCAATGTACTAGCTTTCAACATGAAGATACATTATATTTGTTAACATTTAGCTCACTAACTTCAAATTCAGCTTCTCTTATGTGCTATGGTTTGATTTCGTTCAATTTTATCACTTTACTCCCCTCAACTCAAGACTGAGCTGCTAAAAATGTTCTAGTTAAGTTCAACTTGTTCTTCTAAAACATTACTTCAAATAGGTAGCAGAAATCCAGTAATTATAGTCATGTAACATCAGTATAAAAAGTGTCTCAGATGACCATATCTTGGGTCAACATGTCACACCAGCATCAAATTACCAAAAAAGCTATTCCTACCTTTTTAATGTTTCACATGATATGATAACACAAGCCTGCAATGGTTTTATTGTCTTGAAATTTTTACATGTTCTATAGTAATTCCTGTACTGAATCCAAAAATGGTATTCATTTTTCTCCATCACGTACAGATTTTTCACAAAACGTCATATGTAATTTTACATAAGTGAATCATTTTCATTGAAATCGGGTCACATTTTGTTATGCTTAAAATATTGAGAACCACTACCTATAGATTTCTCTAGAACAATCGCGAAGTGAGAGTCTTATCAACCACGCTTTAATGATGCTACTTCTATGGATCTTTGACATGACTTGACTGTAGCATAGATCACTTTGATGACCTCTCAATACATGTTGAAGTTTATACATACATCTCAAATATGAAGATAATTCTCAGAAAAATTGTGATAAACCAGTATCCACTGCAACTATTATGTGATCAGTAATTATCATCTCTTTTCCTGTTCTGATTGACACTTACTTGACTGTTGTGGAGTCATGTACAGATTACTGGATGATGTATCAATAGGAAATGGATGTTTTTTTATGAGAAATATCTGTTTAGATTGGAATTATTGATTAAATTTCCCATTGTGAAGATTTGTCTGTATGAAAATTCATCCAGATTGTTGATGCCCAGATTAATGAAGGTTCACTGTACATGGTCATTTACTACAAATTAGGTATTACATAAAAATAACCACTGACAGGTATTGATATTTTCAACTTGAACAGCTCTTTATGTGACAAATGGGATAAAGGACCAGTTTAGATAACATAAGTATCATCGCTGCCTTCCCTAATTTAATACTGCTGTCTAAATGGAGGACAACCAGTCAGGAGTACTCGGCACCTATTATGTGGATACTCTAAACCAAATAGTTAGATTGAATGTCACAGATGTAGTGTTCCCAGGAATGAAAAATGTAGTGTGGTCAGTGGCATACTACAGCCTAAACATTGGACTTTTGAATCCACTGCCTGATATGCCACTAAACTATATTGTTATGTCTCTGTTCTCATTTGTTAATTTCCCATAGACATTCTTTCCAAGAAACTTCAGCGATACGAGTCCTTTCTTAAATAAAACTAGTTTATTCTCTCTCAATTCAACTTTGAAATACACTTAATTTCCACAGTCATTTTAACTTAAACATACGCTATAATTCACAACGATTCATGCACTGTACTTATGGTGCCTACCACCCGCTTGACTCGATAATCCTTGTCTATATTTTCTATCTATCTCTCTACCTGCAAGTATTCCAATTCCAATTAATTGTTTCGCTTTATCTGGCACGTTTATATACAAGAATAGAGGGCGTCTAGAATGCACTAGCCTCTTCAGGAACCTTCTAGATACTCATCACATGTTACCAGTGTCACGTTACTTCCGCCGTCGTAACAATATTAGAAATATATAATTACACTGTCCTAATTTAAAATACGTATTCAAAACAGGCATTCCAAATTCAGTTGTAATTAAACAGCAAATTGGACTAAATAAATACTGGTATTATATTACCAGCATATGTTTAATATTTCATCCATTTTTTTGTATTAATTATTTCAGCTGAAACCTTTTACACATGTAGGTAACTTGCAACTAAAAAACATTATTCTAACAGTATAACTGAAATGAAGAAATTGGTATTTAATAACTATGAAGTTCAAAATAGTAAAAAGTGCTAATGCTGAACAAATTATATTCTTCTATCAAAAACTCAGAAATTTTAATCAATCTGTATTTGCTACAAATCTAATACAACATTTTATCAGGGCACTGTTTAGTAAAGCACAAGCTGAAAAGAACACTAGACAGCAAACCAGAGATGTGGTTGCTGATGTCATAATAATTAACTGATGGCCACTTTTTGAGAGCTATTTCCATATTCAACATATATTTTCTTCTTCTTTACAGAATACCATAAATATAATCTAAAGTACAACCTAGAAACAAAAAATTCTGCAATTATAATAATTGTGTTTGAGGTACTAAAAAACTCAAGGTTTCATTTCAACTTCATTATTTGCTACCAATAAATGTTTTTTACAAAATCACAGTAATGTCTTATAAAAACCTTCAAAACTTAATGTGAAATAATTTAACTTTCAACTAACTATCTTCCTACTTTTTGATTCCTGAAAATATGTAGAAACGATAAACTCTTTGTAGAATATTTAAGACAAATTTTGAATTTTTTCTAGAAACAGCAACTGGTACAATAAAACCAGCAAAAACCTTTTTTAACTAAAAGACAAAGTCCAAACATTACAGAATTGCCCTCTAGGATGAGAACCCTAAGCCATGGCAAATTTTTATTACCTACGATGTGAACATTTTTTCAATTAATGTTAGTCTGATTTGATCATTCAAATTCAATGAATACAATGAAAGAGAGACAAAACTGGAAGTTTTACAATTTCTAGTAATCTTTACCTCATTAACTTAGTCAAAACAGTAACAACACCAATTGCCAAAAAAATAAACTGTTTAGAATCAGTAAAAGTTTAATGTAGCATTCATAATTATATATCAACTAAAAATAGTAATTTAAAAATTTCTGCAAACCTTGAATACAAAAAAACTACTTTTAAGTTAACGTTGAATAAATGAATGGCTCTAACTGTGAGCAAGATGCTGTATAACTGTCTCAAACAAATTTAGACAAGGTCATAAAATAACTGATTCTACTTCAAGAAACACTACATAAAAGTGAGTGAAATGACTAAATTTTGCAATACTTTTCAACCATAGTAAACACAAGAATAAAATAAACAATATACATAAAAGTAGTGTTATCAAACAATTTTATGCTTTAAATGTAATAATTCAGTACTTAAACCCAAAAACTAGACCTGCCTATGAAATACTGAAAGCATAATCACACTCCAAGATGTAAGATTCCTTCTTTGGCAGTTTCATTAGAGGAATTAATAATAACATTTTTTATAGCTCATTAAAAAGTATTATCCAAAATTACAAAACACATAACACTTAGAAATCCATGTTATACTACAGTCTCAGATCCTAAACTAAATTCAACGCTTTTAAAAACTAACTGAATAAAAATATTTTTAAATTGTATTGTATGAAAAATATATTTTGTGATGCAGTATATAGTATATTACTCCCAAACTAAAAGAAAGACACACATTAAACTACACTACAATACAATGGTTATACCTGATCATTTAGCCATTATTTCATACTTGCTTCGTAAAATATTTTTTACTAAGAAATAATTTGTGAAATATGGAACATACTTTCAACTAAAAGATTTGGAAAAAATACTTACTTTGACTGAGATAAACTGTTCATCATTCTTTAAAAATGGTTTGAATTAATAGATGCTATATGGTTTTTGAGGTTGGGCAATGTCAGCAAAAACTGTTTCACCCATATCTGGAAAACAAATTACTGAAAATTACACTATATATTTTATTTTTACAAATGTTGCAGAAAACAGTAAAACTTTTTTAGAGTTAAATATACCACTAATTCTTTAAAATAAATATCTCACAGCTGATTTAAAAAATATTTGGTAAGAGAAATCTTGAATTTTAAGCTTAACTTGGCTAACAGATCTTTATAAAGTCAGACAATATGCTGTGTTAAAGCAATTGTTTAACTTCGAAGGATGTTTAACTTTTTTTTTTGTCAATGCATGTTTTTAATGCAACTTTGAGTACATTCATAACAATTAATAAAAATTAAATTTTTTTCAAAAAACAATGACTCATCTGTGACTTACAAGTAAACATTTTAGTTCCTATTGCTCAGTCTGAGATCTAGCTTACTGAATCCTAGATGGTTTTTTGATTACCTTACCAGTGCTTCAAACAATTCCAAACCACTTGTTTCATATCTCATGTTTATAGGTATATAAATGTGAAATTTTAATCTGTTTTTTCTAGATTCAGTTAATTTTTTTGAACTGTTTTCTAAATAACAGATGAAAATAAATTTATCTTTTTGTTCAATATTTTAAGTTTGAGTCAACAACATTCTTCTGCCACCCATTTCAATAAAGGAGAAGAGCCTTGTGAAAAATTGTTTGTGACTCACCAAGATTGGCTATCATCAGTACTTCCAACTGGAGAGTTCTCTAATATTTTATTTTTTGACCCAGAATTTCCATATTATTTTCTCCCACCTAGAAGTTGTTTATTGCTATATTAAATTAACCCCATTAAAGGTGTTGAAGGAAATAAGTGCTTCAGTGCATGCTCATTGTCAATGATAGTGATTTTCGTGTTTTTAACAAAGATTTCTGTTAAAAATGGATATTAATAATAAGTATCTCAAAAAAAAAAATTCAATATGGTATATCACACTGGATATGCTCACTATTAATATACTAAACCATCAAAAAATTTGGTGGAACATTTAATATTCAATTAGCAAAGGCAAAGAAATATCTAAGAGCTAAAACAATCATAACTGGAAAAGCCTAGATTCACAAATGAATGCAGTATATCTTCCCCATCCATAGAGGGATAGATACTAACATGGTATGAACTTGAGACTTCTCTGTGAGTAAAATGTATCGAATCATACTAAATTGTGCCCTTGTAATACATAGAGCAGTCAGTTTCTGCATAGACAGATTTATTCACAATGACAAATATTTTACATTTAATTTTTGGGCAAGAAAAGGCCTGTTCTTCAACATGTTATACATGCAGTTTCCTACAACATCTGAATCAAAACACTATTAATAACAATCTCTTGCAACTTTTACACATGCAGACAATGTCTCTATGTTCAGAGCTCCCTATTACATACACTGCAAATGTTTTTATCATTGACCTCCTGAACAATTTCAAGACAAGCAAAGTCTTATATTGGTCTACTTCATTCTGTACAGTTTTTAAAAAAAGAATCTTTCAACAAAGGCTAATCCAGATTGGTCAAAATAGAGTAATGACAGGCCTAAAAACCTCATACTACAAAATATTTTGACCTCTATAAAAATTCAGTATGTTTCAGTCTATGGGGCCCAGCTGACATAAGGTATTATGGTGCACAATCTCATAAAGATTGGTCCAAAATAATAAACCAACAGCATATATATATATATATATATATATATATATAATTATTAATGTCTTTCTTTTATCTTTTACTCCTATTAAGATGAAAAAAATGTGCAAATCTCAAATCTGTCTCTGCTTTAATCTGTGGTAGTTGTTACAGGTATCTTTGTATCAAGTCTTATTTGGATTGATGGAAATTTTTTGGTTTAAATTTCGTGCAAAGCTACACGAGGGCTATCTGCACTATCTGGCCCTAATTTAGCAGTGAAGGACTAGAGGGAAAGCAGCTAGTCATCACCACCCACTGCCAACACTTGAGCTACTCTTTTATCAACAAATAGTGGGATTGACCATCACATTATAATGCCCACATGATTGAAAGGGCAAGCATGTTTGGTGGAATGGAGATTCAAACCCGCAACCCTCATATTGCAAGTCCAGTGCTGCCCTAACCACCTGGCGATGCTGTGGCTTTGATGGAAATATAAGAGATCTGCAGGCCAAAATACATGTTTGTTCTTTGACCTCCTAAAATCTGAAAGAGGTCTAGGTGTGTTAAATCAAGATATACGTCCTCTAACTTTTAAGATGATGAGCCTACAAATAAAGCAGTGGTGCACAATATTAACTGTTGGAAAGTAGAAAAGGAAAGAAACACAGGAAGTACAATATCTCCCTCCCTATAAGGAAGGCATAAATGTAGATTACAATATTCATAAAAATAAAACACCCACAAACATACAATACTTAAGAAGGTGTTAAGCATCTTCAATAATAAAAATTATATTAGTTCATTTCTGAGCAAAAACCTATTAAGTCACACCCTGACTGATCTAAAAACCACTGCATAAAACATACCATTCTAAAAAAAAAATACTTCATTATTATGTTGTTCAAAATTTAAAAAGACATACAAATATTGATCATTCTTACTGTCAGAGGTGAAATCCCCCCCCCCCAAAAAAAGTAGAGGTACTTAGCTGGGTGAAGTGGACTTCTTTATGAGAAAAAAAAATATATGTGTAAACATAAAAAACAACAAAGCAGCTCAAATAAGTACCACCTTAAAAAAATAAGTTCCAGTACTAAGTATTGGCGAGTACCAGCAGAATATCACTCCTGCTTACTCTATCCAAACAAAAATATACAATTTAGTGATCAATTGGGTTAGGTACTGTTATTTTAGAGCTTGAAATAATATTTTTTTATCTAGCATACTATGTCAAAAGACTAAGAAAATATATATATTTATGTGTTGGTGTGGTTTTTATTACATTGAAACATAGTTTTCTATCAACTTGTAAATTTTCACAAGAGTAAAACACCGAGTATATCTACAGAGGTACACAACATTTCATTGACACATACTCAGACTATTGATTTTGTTAACTTACAAGTTATTCAGATGAATTAGCAAGTATGAAAATGAAAAAAGTAGTGGTAATTTTAAGCGTTCCCATTGCAGTCCTGTGAAATCTTATTAATTAACCTATAAAAATATAAAACTATCTAATTACTTTTAAAAATATCAAGTTTTTAATAATAGAATGATATAACATACTCAATTTAAGTAAGTAAACTATCATACATGCTACTTGTTTCTTTATACTTTTCCTTTCAGATGCAATTAAGACAATTTTCATACATCCAACTGAATATGAAGTACCAAATTTAGTTTTTTTTAATGATCAAGGTTCTTTATTGGTTTACATACAATTTAAAACAAAAAATTTTATAATATATGTAACATCAAGTTGTGTGAATACAAGTTCTTTAATCACATTATACCCCCTTGTGACAACCTTTGTATATAGATCAATGACATATTAGATTTCATTATTTAATCTTCACACATTCCTATATCATATAAAAATTACACATTACCAACATAATCTATTTCACACCCTACCAGTTATTGTTATACAATTTCAGAATATAAGAGCACCTTAACTAGAGCTGGTGAATCAAATCAAATAATTAATATAATCTTTTACCTACGAGCAGTGATTCGACCGATTAGTGTCATAAAACAATTAACTAATTGAAATTACTATTTCTGATTATTACTGTTTTCTGATATTTTTACTATCCACTAATTAAAATATTGCCATTATGATTTTTCATTATTTTTGGTAAATTCAAATTTGTTTCTGTGATTTGCCCTAGATAACTTGAAAGTTCTCCATGTGTCAAAAAAATATTTGTCCAATTTAACTCAGGTAGACCATTTCTCAACATATTTTTAATTACTTTACCAAATTTATTTGTACGTTATCATGTATTACAATCAGTACTCACCAGATGGCATTGGAAATTCTGTATTTGCTCATTGCTATCAAATTTATTCTGAATTATGTATTATAAACACTGAAGAAAAGCATTCCTATTCTCTACTGGTTTCACTGAAATAATTTACATGTATAATGTATAAATCCAGATATGTAACATTTATTAATAGAAAAATTTTCTGCAAATTATAACAGATCATAAAAGAACTTTTATTCATTGATATATAAGCATAGGCTATCAAGACGCAAAACAAATAACCTGACTTTTTTCAGCTCCTGTCCAAAAAAAGCCTTACATGGAAGGGGATTAATAAATTAATGTCACAACTCATAAAAATAATCAGGTAATTGAAATTAGGTTCCTAATTATTGCTATATTCAATTATTTCAACTGTCAGTGATCCAAAAATTGTCACTATGTTTGCTGTTAAGCACAAATTAGCTACAAAATGTGCTATCTGTGCTCTGCCCATCATGGGTATCGAAACCCTATCAACTGATTTAATAATAATGAATTATTTGAATGTAATTAATTAATTAGCCTGCTGATTAACTAGTCACCAAATTCCACTAATCACCCAAATATAGTCTCAACCATTATTGTGTTTATCATATCCCAACTGGCTTGACGTGCCCTAATATTGGGCAAAAGGCCTAATCGACACTGATTATTGTAGACATATTAAGAGTTATATATTATAGATTCCACTTTCCTTTTAATATTAAGTTCTTAGAAGTTACTTCACTAAGTTTTTTAATAAGATCAAATGTCTCTGTTCTTTGAATGATTGAAATATTATTGAAAATATAGTACTGTCCTTCAATCCTACCACACCATCTTGTGATAACCTATATACAGATCAATTATATGTAAACTTTCTTCACTTAAGTTTCATATATTCCTCTGTCATAAAATAGTTTCAGTTTTATTCAGATAATTAACAGTTATTTAGTCTAATTTTAACAAAGTTTCAATTACAGAAGTTTTTACTGAAAAAGTTGACATTGTATTTTCTAGATTTTTCTGGTAAATTTCCAATTTTTCTACTACAATTTTCTTGATCTTGCAGTTAAGATC